CACAAAGTGCAGTAGGGCACAAAGGAAAGAACAGGAAATGCTTGAGGTAACAGTGGAGAGGAGTTAGAACTTAACAGCAAATGACTTGAAAGAAATGAAGGGATGCATTCTGGGCAAAGATAGCCGAGTCAAAGGCAGGAAAGAACCGGCTATTTGGGGAAGAGGAAGGGAGAAAGTCAAAGTAGCAAAGTAGACTCCAGGTGTGGGCCGGCTGGAGAGATGAACTCAGAACGGGCAGCTGCATCAGATGGGGAGCCTTGAACAACAAAACAGCAAACTGGTAGGCAATGAGGAGCCCCGGGGGGGCTTCCCAGATGAAAACGGGAAAGAACAAGGCATGCTCTGGAGACCAAGCACAGAGGAGTAAGTTAGGAAGGGGCACTGGCGCGCCTCCAGCCCCCGCTGACTTAACAGCAGCTGCTAACACGGAGGGCTTACCAAGTGCCGACCCCAAAGAACACGTGTGATCTCTTTAATCCTCCTGAAGGGACTCTTACCAACCCATTTCACAGATAAGGGAGCAAGGCACAGGGAGGTTAACAAGTGTGCTCCGATCATATAAGCAGGCAGCAGTGAAGCTCCGGGGCCAGCACACTGACCACGAGCGCGGCAGGCCTGGGCCTCGCGCTCCTCTGAGTGAGGCTGAGAAGTAGGGCGAGCAAAGGGGAGACTCATACAGCGCAGAGATGATGTCTCTGTGACCTACCACTTCAGGTCAAGGGCTGACTGGAAGAAGTCTGGGGTTCCTTGGGGTTGTGGCACAAGACAGCCAAAAACCAGCTTTGCTCGAGAACTTACACCAAGTCCTTCTGCAAATGGCCCCACGCGCAGTCCAGCTGCGTCTAGACAGCGCGGACTTGCAACAATTGGTACCTAGTTGGTAAGCAAGTGGAACACCCCCAAGAGTTCCCAGAAAGGGGAGATGTGAGAGCATAGTGGATTGAACTGAGTCCCCCAAAATTGATGTGTTCCAAGTCAGAACCCTCAGTACCGCAGAACGTGACCTTATTTGGAAACTGGGCCGTTGTTGATGTAATTGGTTAGGATGAGAAGATAGGCCCCTAATCCTATATGACTGGTGTCCTATAAAGAGGGAAATCTGGCTACCAGCATGCTTACAGGGACAAGGCCATGTGAAGAAGGCAGAGACTGGGCTGAGGCAGTAAAAAGCAAGGGCTGCCGAAGACTGCAAGCAAATGACCAGAAACCAGGAGCGAGGCCTGGAACCTCACCCTCACAACCTTCAGCCTCACCATCACAGCCTGGAACCTCAGAACTGCTGAGACCCTATCTCCACCTTTTTCCCTCCAGAACTGTGAGACAGGAAACTTCTGTTAAGTCGCCTGGTTCATGCTACTTTGTCGAAGCAGCCCTAAGACACTAATGGGCTTCCCAGGAGGCTCAGTGGCAAAGAATCCCTCTGCCAATGCAGGAGACATGGGCTCGATCCCTGGTCAGGAAGATCCCCTGAAGAAGGAAATGGCAACCCACTCCAGTATTCTAGGAAATCCCATGGACATAGGAGCCTGGCGGGCCACAGTCCATAGGGCAGCAAAGAGTCCGACACGACTGAGCAACTAAACAACAACAACACTTAATACAGTGACCCATGCTATTCTTCCCCATAAGATCATAGGTACATCTTCACTGCATATTTTAGTAAGTAAAAAGTCTACAGTGAAACACTGTACTGCAATGCATATCATTACACAAAAGACTATTTCTGTATCATGGTTGTAAGTTGAAAACAGGTAAGTGTTTGAAATTTCATCTATCTCCAACTGCCCAGGCATCAGGGACTATCTTTGATTTTGAAACAAAAACCAACTTTAACAATCAAGGACCTACTTTCCCTTCCCTTTATGTACTCTTAAAAGCAAATATTGACTGTATTAGATCCTCCCTGTGACCTGAAGAAACCAACTCCAAAGGTCAGAGGTCCTGCTGGACCCCTCAACCAGCAGAAGGTCCCCGTCTGTCCCACGTCATGTCCCACAGCATGAAACCACATCAGGATGACCACAAGTCCTCTCAGTTTTAAAGTGGCAAAATATGCTCACACATTCAATTCTGCAACTACTGTTGATTTCTTTGTTTAACCAGTGCATGACTTTGAAGAACATGTGCCTCAGAAGTTGTGAGTGAATGGTTGTGGTTAGGAAGGGAAGCTTGTCTGCCCTGGGGAATTCCACATACTGTTTGCAACTAATGATTAGCCTCACTAAGAAATGAAACCAAAGCTGTACTTCCTTTGATAACTTGGAAAATCCCCTACTCCAAAATATTTTTGCACATGTACAAAAATTATGGAAAGTTATACTATAAAACCAGAATCTCCTACAACTCAAATGTAAGCCACCAGAATTATCTATAACAAACTTAAGATGTTCTTATGTCACAGCACTCCCTCTCTTTGAAGTTAACCTTGAGTGTTTAAGACGGGACACACACAGTTCTAAGCCTATTCCATGATATGAATTGTTTAATTCTCACAACAACCCCCTGCAGTAGGCAGGTTAATAATAACCTATATTATTCCTATTGTGCAGGTGAGAATAAAGTACAGATAGGTTCAGAAATGGCCCAAGGTCACAGAGCAATGCATGGTGGAACTAGGATCCCAAACCAGGCAGCCTGGTTCCAACCCACCCCACCTCCTCAACAGACAGCCAATCAAGCTAGACACAGAGACAAACAAGACAAAATGTTGAGTGGGGCAGGTTAAGGAGGGTGTGTTGAGGATGGGGGCAAAAGAAGAAAACAATCACATCCCAGGCACTAGGCTGGCACTTCACACATGCTTTTCCCACTTAATGGGCACAGCAGCCGAGGGAAGCATTACTCTCCCACTCAACAGATGAGATGCTGAGGCCTGGAGGGGTTAAGGTAGCCCGTATGAGGGCACATGATTATGTGATGCCCCCACACCCAGGTTTGCTGATTGCAAAAACCAGAGCTGTTTCTTCAGCCCATTTTCTCCAGAGTCACAGTTTCCCACTGTAACTTCGGCATTGCGGATGGTACAATTTGCTTTTTAAAGTCAATCCAGCAGTGGAGAGCAATGGTGCTGGGGTCAGGAATGGGGGTCATGCCCATTCCAGCTGCACGCTTGCACAGAAAACCAGAGTGCAGTGGAGATGCTTAATGTGCCACCCTGGGGGTCAGGGGGGCTCAGGGTCTAGATCCACTTCTGATACTAATTAACTGTGCTGGTTTAGCCAAGCCCCTCAACCTCACTGGATCTCTGTTTTCCAAGTATAAATTGGATATAAGGATGCCTGGTCCGTGGATCTCACAAGCGGCATGTAAAAGGTGTTACCAATACAGGTGAACTGGCTGTGAAAACTCGACAGCTAATCATCGCCAGAATGAACGAAACCAGGTCATCCCGGCAGCTACCACAGTCCCGTAGGCCGGCACATGCCAGCTGGGGTAGGTGATAGCAGGAGAATGGCCTGGGGTGAACCTCACCCTCTCCCTTAGGAAATCTGGGCTCAGGGCGTCCAAGGTCTGGTTCTGCCTAGGTCCCCAGAGCTTTCCCCCATGGCAGCCTCGCTGGTCTAGAGAGATATCAATCAGGAGAGCCTGGGCAGGGGAGCGAAGTCCTTGAAGAGCAGCCTCCTGTGCCTCCAGGTCCTCGCACACCTCGCAGGCCGGTTGGCACCGAGCAGTGATGGGGGCAGGGTGCCATCTGGGACAGCATCCAACACTGGGTTTCATCCCTGGGTGGCACGGAATCGGGAAGGGGAGCGTCATGGAACGCTCCACCCCTGCAGGGGGAGGGGCTCAGGTGAGACCACCCACCAGAGCGGAGGCTGGAGGAGCGAGCAGAAAGGACCTACCCACCCCTACCCTCCGTTTGTTCGAGCCCACAGAGACTCCCCCACCCCCACCCCATTAGTTCCGGCCCCAGGAAGAGGCAGGGATCGGATACGTTAAACACTGAATCACCCGGCACTTGGGCACAATGACCCCTCCAGGAGAGGGCGGAGAAGCTCGTCTGGCAACTGCCTACACAAACAGGGCAATTCTGAAGAGCAGCAAACAAACCAGTCTGGCCCCCTTTTGCATAAGATTGCACTCCACAAAAACAACGTCCAAGGAACTCTTGCTGATCAATACCAATTGCTAACACTGAGGTTTGGGCCCATTACAGAGGTCCCTTTGGAGGAACTTCGTATAAGGCGATTTTTTGGAAATTGCTATGCTGTGTCTGTAGACACCAACTCGCCGTTGGGAGCACCAGACACTTCACTCAACAGATTCTGATGAACTTTGTTTTAAGAGGAAGTTAAACTGAAAGGTTTGAACCAGGAACCAAAGGAAACTTGTTAGTCACTAGGTGACCCGTGTTCTTTATGCTAAGGGGTCACACAAGTTCTGGGGGGAGGTGAATTGTTAGGTGTGGAGAATCGTTAGGTAAGAGCAGATCGGTCTGTCTGCGGGCCTCGGAGTGGACACTGACCACAGCCCCTCAATCCAGAGAAGCATCAAAAAACGAACTGCAATGGGTTAAAATCCGAAGGAGGTGTGAGCGCGTTGGGCCGGCGAGCGCGGTTAAGAAAAACGTGCATCCTCCCGGAGCCCAAGGCCGCCTTCGGTTCCGGAAAATGACATGTCACTTTACACGAGGTACTGAACGAAGACAGTGGGCCAGAAAATTTCCAGCATACCGTCCTCCCTCTCCACCCCCAAACTACTACCCTTGATCGCCGTCAAACAGAGGACAGGTGTTCTTTATAATCTAACTGATGACTTCACCTATTTCGTTCCCAAAAGCCTAAGCCACAGCGACAGCACTAAGCCTTCTTCGGTCGAATTCACAAAAAGGAGAGGCTCACAGTGGTCCGCAAACCTGCAAACCACCCCCGCCCGGGGACGCAGGGTGGAGGTGCGCAGGCGTGCCCCCCCCACCCCCCACCCCGCCCAGCTCTACCCGCCACAACCAGGGCTCCGGGCCAGGTCCCCCAGCACCCGCTCGCGTCCCGCTCTCCTGTTACCTCGCTCGCGTGTCCGCCGGCGTCCGACACTTGAGCCGTCGGTTCCGCGGGTGCCTTCTCCTCCTCCCCGGCGGCCAACGGGCTACTCTGAACCGCTCGCGGACCCCCGCCGCCACCCGGAGCAGCCTGGCTAACGCCGTCCACGCCGGCACCCACTCCCCCGGCAGACGAGGCGGCTGCGGCGCCGAGCAGCGCGTGCGTCCCGTCGGCGTCGCCTGCAGCCACGCTGTGCACCAGCCACGCGTCCACTCGAGTGCTGGGGATAAAGGGGACCCCCAACGCGCGCACCTCCCGGAGCAGCCGGCCTTCTGGCGGCGCCGCGGGGTCCCGCTCCCAGCACTTGGGGTGCAGCAGTTCCGCGCGCCCCCACCCTCCCGAGGCCGGGAAAGGACTGAGCGCGGAGATGTGCCTCGTCTGGCCGTTCCGGAGCAGCAGCTCATCTCCAAGCAGAGTGCGCGGCGCAAACAGCAGGTAGAGGTCGAGGTCGAGGTCGAGGTCCAGGTCCAGGCGGAGCTCCGCCAAGCTCAGCAGGATGGTGAAGTGAAGAAGGCTGCCGCCGTCCGACCACCACGGCTTCAAGTACTTCATCCCCCGCCGCGCGTCAGAGGACGCCCCGGCGGGCGCCCGCTGATCCCAGCGCTCAGGCCGCAGCTCTGGCACGTGGGGGCCCCGCGCGCCGCCGGCACCTGTCCGGAAGAGAAAGCGGCGAAACAATGGACCTGGGCGCGCAGCGGCCGTCGCGGGCCCCCGGAGCAGGGCACAAAGGCGGCCCCACCGCAGCCGGCTGGGTACCTGCGGCTGCGGGCCGGCGGAGGAGGAGCCACCTGCGGTCAGAGCTCGCCCTCTCGGGCTGCCCTGCAGCCCCAAGCTGCAGCCAGGCTCCGCCCCTGGCCGCGGGCGCCGCCGCCGGGGACACGCCCACGGCCGCCCGTGGGAGGGGCCCGTGCGGGGCGGGGCCCCCGCGCTCAAAGGCTCTTTATTCCGGGGGAACGCAAAGCTTCCTGGGAGCAGAAGTAGTTCTGGGCGCGAAGTGGCCTCCAATCCTGTGGTCATGGGCTGGGCGGTTGTGGCTGAAACCGCGGGGTGGAAGTAGGGGGTCCGGGGTAAAGGTGGGTAGGAAGGGACCGGCTGTATAGACTGTGGGGGGAGGGGGGAGGGGAGAGGGCGGAAAGTCGAGGCACTGGGCGGCATGCAGAGGGCTTCCACCCACGTGAGAACACTCAGCCGGCACAGTAGGTTCATATCCCAGCGCCACTATCTACCAGTCGTGTGACCTTGAAAAGTTACTTATCTGTGCCTCACTTTTCTTATCTGTAAAATGGGGATAAAAGTACCTGTTCAATAGGATGTGGGGAGATCAGAGACAATGTATTGTAAAGCCGACAGTTTGACATATAGATTCCAAAGTTGCCATAAGGATCAAACAGAACTGTTGTCTGTTCCCTCCCGCCTCCCCCGGACTTGCCCTGCCAGAGGCTAGGCCTTCCCTCACCATCTCCTTTGCTCCTTAAGTGAGAGTTAAGAGCAGTGCTCTATCGTTACCCTGTAGGCGTCCAAATCCCCCCTCTACTGCTTACTAGCGTGGACCTTGGACAAATCGGTCACTCTCAGTACGTGTTTCCTCACTGTGAAGTGTGACTAATGAGAGCACCCCTGTGACCCCTAAATGAGGTGTGTATACCACCAACCACAGCACTGGGTAGACAGGAAGTGGCCTCAGAGTGTTATCCATCATTTGTATTACCCATCCTCCAAGGCTTAACCCAAAGATATATCCTTTGAATTTTCACCATTTGGAATTCTCTTCCCCCATCTGTTCTCCCACAGTGATTTCTCCATATGCCAACATTGCAACACTTGGCACATTTCACTTTGCATTGTAGTTGAAATTGACCTGATTTGTCCATTATACATTCTTGAGGGCAAAAAAAACCTGTTTGGCTTACCTTAGTGCTCAGCACTGGGCCTTGCCATTGTAAGTTTTGCTAACTCACTCCCTTCCTGGGGAGGGGGCAGGGAGGGAGAGGGTGGGCATGCCCAGCTGAGGGTTGGCAGTTGTGTTTTCTCCTCTGTCTTGGGGCTAATGTAACGAGAATTCCACACCAGACGCGAGTTTGCTCTATGAGAACCAGGGTAGCAGAAGCAGACTTCTGAAAAGGCAGCTTCTACTTTAAGCCCTGGAGAGTGGGTTATCAGGTGTGAAGAGGCTGGAAGAGAGATGCTCTGCCAGGTTAGTGAGGTTTGGGACACTTAGTCCCTGGACAGGGATTCGGGTTCTGGGGCTTGGTTAACATCTGCTGAATTCAGACATCTAGCTCAGTGTTTTCTGAGGACCCACTGAACTGCCTGATGTTGTGAAGGTTAGGAAAGGGAGTACATTTGCTCTGTAAGTTTATGGTCTCATTGGGGAGCGAAAGAATGTTCTCGAATGCCTAAATATTTTGGAGATGTAAATGACCATAAAGTAAGTGCCGTAAACCAGATGAGGACAGAGGTGGTACCTTCTTCAGGGTAGTATCTCTCAGAAACTTGCACTCAGTCGGTACTCAAAACATACTGTTTTCCAGTGGAATTGAATCTTTTACACTTGAGATGTGTTTTGAAGGATTCGAATAGATGAACAAGAGGAAGGACCTTCAAACTTCCTGATATAGTTGGGGAAGGGGCTGACTCCTCACCTGTAAAATGTGAGCTGATAATGATAGTATCTGTCAGACTTGTAGTTCAGTCACTAAGTTGCATCTGAATCTTTGAGACCCCACAGACTACAGCCATCAGGCTCCTCTGTTCTTCACTCTCTTCCAGAGTTTGCTCAGATTTGTGTCCGTTGAGTCGGTGATGCTATTAACCATCTCATCCTCTTCTGCCGCCCCTTCTCCTTTTGCCTTCATCTTTCCCAGCATTTGGGTCTTTTCCAGTGAGTTGACTCGTCGAATCAGGTGGCCAAAATATTGGAGTTTCAGCTTCAGCATCAGTCCTTCCAATGAATATTCAGGGTTAATTTCCTTTACAATTGACTGGTTTGATCTCCTCACGGTCCAAGGGACATTCAAGAGTCTTCTCTAGCACCACAATTCAAAAGCATTAATTCTTCAGCACTTAGCCTTCTTTATAGTCCAATTCTCACATCCATACATGATTATTGGAAAAACCATAGCTTTTACTATATGAACCTTTGTTGGTAAAGTGATATCTCTACTTTTTAATACACTGTCTAGGTTTGTCATAGCTTTCCTTCCAAGAATCAAGCATCTTTTAATTTCATGGCTGCAGTCACTGTCTGCAGTGATTTTGGAGCCCAAGAAAATAAAATCTGTCACTGCTTCCACTTTTTCCCCTTCTATTTGCTATAAAGTGATGGGACCAGATGCCGTGATCTTAGTTTTTTAATGTTGAGTCAGACTGCACAATTCAAATCTGTGGCTTACAGACTGGTGAGAATGAGGCACAGAAAGGACCTTGAGGTCAAATATTAAACAGGGGACTCATAATCAATCCTACATACCTTTGACCTTCAACAAAACGAAAGATCCCATTTTTAGGAAGTCAGAGAGAGTGGAGAATGGGTTTTTTGTTTGTTTGAGATTTAAAAGATTTTTTTTCTAGAATCCCTCTTCCCAGGAATAGCCAAGTGAAAAGTACGGATCGCTGACTTGTAAAAGCCTTGAAAAGTCATCTGTGTTTATTCGAATCTTTAAACCAGTGCCACTCAAAGGATGGTCCATAACTGAGATTAGTCCATAAACTGTTTCTGGTCCAGATGAGGTAAGTAATAGAATTGAATGTTTAGAAATGTTTACAGTCTTTTGACATTGTTGTAACAACCAAGCCATGATCAATGGGTTTGCTTTTATATACTGTAGTTGCTTAATTTTTCTAGAAATGAATTTTTTTATTGTACAAAAGTACCGACCTATAACTGGGGAAAGAAAACTGATCTATGACCAGGATTAGTTTGAGAAGCACTGCTTTAAATGCATTCTTGTGAGGCAGACAAGTTCTGAGATGACTTCCTGTCCTCACCTTTCCTTGGGTGTGGGCTGATCATGGTTACTTGATTCTAACAAATAGAGTATGGCCAAAGTGATGCAATGTCATTTCCAAGATTATGTTATAAAAAGACTGTGTCTAGTCTGTTTGGGCTGCTATAACAAAATACTATAGAACTGGGTAACTTATAAACAGCAGAAGTTTATTGCTTACAGTCCTGGAAGCTGAAAGAACAAGGTCAGGATGCCGGCATGGTTAGTCTGGTGAGAGCCCTCGTCTGGGTTGCAAATAGCCGGCTTCTTGTATCCTCACAGAGTGGAAGGGACAAGGGAGCTTTCTAAGTGGCTTTTTAAAAATTAATTATTTATTTTTGGTTGTGCTGGGTCTTCCTTTCTTCGTGGGCTCTTCCCTAGTTGTGGCGATTGGGGGTTCCTTTTCATTTGTCATTGCGGTGGCTTCTCTTGTTGCAGAGCATGGGTCCTAGGGCTCTCGGGCTTCAGTAGTTGTGGCTTGGGGGCTCATTAGTTGAGGTTCCCTGGGGCTCGAGCGCAGGTTCAGTAGTTATGGTGTGCGGGCTTAGTTGCCCTGTGGCATGTGGGATTTTCCCAGACCAGGGATCTAACCACATCAGCAGGAGAGCTCATTACCACTGAACCACCAAGGAAACCCCTCAACAGCTTTCTTAAGGGGTCTCATCGCCTAATCACCTTCCAAAGGCCCCACTTTCAAATACCATCACCTTAGGGGTTAGGTGTCAACACATGGATTTGGGGGGAACACAAGCATTCAGACCACACCCCTTACCTTCTCTGTGCATCTGTTGCTCTCTCCCTCTTGGAGAGTAGTCCTATATAGAAGCTCATGTGGCTGTGCAAAGTTGACTGCTAGTGGAAAGCTGCTTTGTAACACAGGGGGCCCCAGCCTGGTGCTCTGTGACGACCTAGAGGGGTATGATGGGAGGGGCTAGGGAGGCTCAAGACAGAGGGGTTATATAGATAATTATCATTGACTTGTGTTGTTGTGAGGCGGAAACTAATACAACATTATAAAACAATTGTCCTCCGATTAAGAAATTTAAAAAAAAGAAGACGCTCACGTGGCAAGGTATTGGTATCTTCAACAGCCAGTGAGGATCCGAGGCCTGCCACAGCCACTTAAACGCTTAAAGCAGGTTCTTCCGTGCTTGAGGTTTGAGATGATGGTAGCCCTAGCAAACTCCTTGATCACAGCCTTGTGAAAGATCCCCAAGTCTAAAGATAAGCTGCACATAGATTCCAACTCAGAAATGACTCTAAGATAATAAATGTTGTTTCAAGCCACTAAGTTGTGGGGTAATTTGTTACACAGCCTCGTTAACTAACAATCTGTGTCAGAAGAGGGCGTCAGACAAGTGGAAGGAAAATCTAAAACTGCAACTGCAGTTGTGCAGTATGGTTAGTGAAATATTCCGTGAATAATTTATGACTGTGAAGTAACATTACAATAGTACATTCTGAGCCCTTCATGCAATAATCTGGCTTACCCCTATAAATGTAAGATTGTAACTTGACATGAAAGAGATCACTGAAACATTTCTGGTGTGAGACGAACACAGGTAT